CGATTCCCGAATGACCAGGAACCCAGGCCAATATTGTCGGTCGATTCAAATCAGAAAGGACCTTAAGGCGGTTTCTAATCGCGAAAATTATGTAAGACTTGATTTGATATGTGCATTTAGTGTTTAAATTTTTAAGAACGCTAAGTGAGTCTGAGAAAATTATTGTGTTAGTAAGATTAGAGTCAATTATGTAGTCAAGAGTAAATAAGATAGCAAATGCTTCAAGAGAAAAAATAGTTGCATGGTGAGAGATTTTAATTTTAGAAAAAATATTTAATGTTGGAGAAACGAAGGAACATCCCGCCAAAAGATCCCTTCCCGACTAAGATCCGTCGGTGAAAAAGTACGTGCAGTTAGGAAATTTGCGGTTAGTTATATCTTTAAATAAATTTGAGGGATTAGGAGAGTTTTTGAGTGATTGTCCCAAATCGAAACAGATTTGGGGAGTAAATATATGATCATCATAGAGGAATTCGAAGTAAGGATCGATGTCATTACTTCTGATGAGTTCGCTGTAATTTTTCGCTTTTTCAAAAGCAATTAAGAGAGGATAATTATATTTAACATTTGAGTTATGAATGAGGCGCAAGAGTTCTGAGAGTCTGGCCGGCAAAGGATGGCTTGAGTTTGAGAAAGTTTTTAGAAGATATTTTTTTGCAAGGAAGTTAAATTTGGTTCTTAAAGGAAGTATACAACATTCAGCTAACATTACATTAATAAGGGTGCTATTCCTGTAGCCTACGGCTAGTCGGAGAGCTTGGTTACGAATTTTTTCAAGTCTAGAGAAATTTTTATGAGATTTAAAGTTATAGGAAGCAGATCCATAATAGATACCGCTTCCAATTAGAGAGTCAAAAATTTGAAGTAAAAGTTTGGGGTCTGATCCCCACCATGTGCCTCTAAGAACTTTTAAGACATTAAAAATTTTTCGGCTTTTATCGCATAAGTAGTTAAAATGGGAATCAGATGTAAATTAACTCATTTTTAACAAATATCAATCTAGAAATTTGTATTATCTAAATTATTTCCATGCTTTTTATTAAATTTTCATAACTGTCAATCTAACCTTTTTTCTGTCCAACTCAATTTAAAAATTAAAATTCTAAGTTAAATTCAAAAAATTTTATAAAATAATTCTCAAAAATGAATTTTGTGGATATTAAACATCATTTTTACAAATTATGAGATTTTTTTAAAAATAGGCCGCAACAGCTTCAGGTGAAATATAATGGACTGACCCCAGGAGATGAATGAGGCAAAGGAGAAAGATGTGTCGGATTCTAGAGGAAGGGAAGGTGAGGTACTGTGTTGTGTAGATGAAGAGTCAAGTGCAGATTTCGCCAAAGCAAAACCATTTGGTAAAAGGTTTTGTGATCTGCCGTTGTTAAAGTTGGTCGCAAAGAATGATGACGCTGTGTTTTTCGTGTTTTTTGAGTGTTTGTTATCTTTTGGTAATGTAAATTGTGCATGCGTTTTATGGGAGGTCGCGTGAGCGAATGAACGTCTGTTCGAGCTGGAATCATCAAGTAAGATTGAAGCAGGTGTTGTTGGGCAATCTCCTAGATCGGGAAAGTTGAAAAAGTTGAAGGTGCTGGAGAGATTTGAGCTTTTCCTTGGTCTAATGATTTCTTTTGCCTCTTCAAAGGACGTTTTGTGGGTCGTCGCATAATACCGAATTTCTTTTTGAAAAATGTATTCCGGGCATTGTTTCGAGGAAGTTCTGTGTGAACCATTACAATTCACGCATTTTGGAGGACCCGAAGCGTGTGTGCACAAGCTTGAGTCGTCGTGAGGAGTCGTGCTACTACATTGTTTGCATCTCGGTTTAGACTTACAATGTTTGGCAATGTGTCCAAAACGGAAGCAATTGAGACACATGCGAGGGTCTGGGATGTACGGACGGACCAAGCTCGAGCCCTTGAAAATTTCGATGCGTTCTGGCAGGGTAGTACCCTGAAACGTCAGAAGGACGGTTGTGGAAGGTTCATACGAAATTACATTTTTTTCATCGACTTTTTTACGGTTAAATCTTAGGTCGTTAATAATCTTGCACTCTTTGCTGCAATTACTAATAATTTCCGCGTTTTCCAATATCTCTTCGGTAGAGATGTCTAGACCGATGTTATTAATAATGCCTTGGCATGTCACGAAACTATTCATAGCAACGCGAACCTTATCGCGACCGCTCGGATGAATTCCGACGATTTTCCGGGATAGAATGTGTGAAGCATCTTAAGGCGCTCTCACAGCTAGTAGGCAGCATATAAATTTGAATTTACTGTCTCTTTCACTCTAATTGATTTTCTCTCTTACTCCAATTACTGCCTGCGCAGGCAGGCAGAGCTGTGAGAGCTCCATTACCGACAGATACATGATTCAAATCTTTAGACGCATCCGACGACTTAGGGTCGCGTTGAATAAAAACCGGACAGTTGTCTTTATTTGAATTTTCGTACTTTAAGGGTTTCCGCGTGTGACCTTCAGAATTCTGTTCTTTCGAGGGTATTACCTTTTCGTTATTTTTACCTTTTTCGCCATCGCACAAGCGTTTTGCGGCTGGATCCATTTCCAATGAAGACAATAAATTTTGACGCGATCTAGTATGTTTTTGATTATTCTGATAAAAAAGCAAATTTTTAGCGGCATTTTCTAAATCTGGATCATTCTGAAAATTGTTCGAGTCGCCAACATCCATGCGCGACATGTCCACTCTGCAAGCCTACGCGCAGCCCTGTGGCTGGCGTTAACCTAAGAAACCACTCAGAAAAGACGCGATGCCTGTGAAGCAGGCGGAATAAACACTATTTCGATTCTAAAGAGAGATCTCAGGAATATAGCTGAGATCTATGAAAGCACTTCTAAATATAAAAGCCCGGAAATACACAAGAAACTTTTTAAGAAAAAGAAACGCGTGCGTCCGATACCGTTGCTCAGACGGAAGTCCCTAATATATTTATAAAACATTTTTCTTAGTAAATTTTAAATATCTTTAGGAAAAAATCCCTATAATTTCTATTTGTCGCGTTGGTCACGTGATCTCCATATGGAATACATAGGACGACGCGTTAGTATCAACGCGTTCATACCGACGTCGACTCTATTCTGGACTCTCCTTGACTCGTGGGACGCAGTGAGACCGCATCCTAGGTTAAGGGGCTTGTATACCTCCTCCGTTCTAAGTATATCAGAAACGTCCAGCGTTTTGATTGGCTATGCTCATAGAGAATTTCCAAAAAATTTAATGTTTTGGAAATTCTCTATGAGCATAGCCAATCAAAACGCTGGACGTTTCTGAATATACTCAGAACGGAGGAGGTATACAAGCCCCTTTATGGAGTAGGCTTATTAAGGCCTTTCTCCAATAGGTTTTAAAAAGTGTGCGAATGACTGCGTTGCGTTGATTTTAGCATGTGTTGCTATAGGAACCGACGCAGACGCAGAGTTTTAGGAACATATTGGAGAAAGGCCTTTAGGGGCCGTTCAAAAAATACGTAACGCTATTTTTCGGGAATTTGGACCCCCCCCCATGTAACGCAATGTTGTATACATTAGCGCCATTTTTTCTGCTGACCGTAACAAATAGCTTGACCCCCCCTCCCCCCTAAAGCGTTACGTATTTTTTGAACGGCCCCTTATGGAGACCATGCGAGCTCACTGCGTCCCATGTCAAGAGTCAGCAGCGCGCTCTAAAGGCCAACGCAGAATAGATCTGTAACCGGAACCGCAATCGTAACCGTAAGCGTAAGAATGAGTTAGAGAAGGATAAACAATATACCTATCCTTCTTTAAATCATTCTTACGGTTACGCTTACGATTGCGGTTCCGGTTACAGATCTATTCTGCGTTGGCCTTAAAGGGGCGCGTTACACGCCCCTTTAGGCCGCAGTCCCATGGCAGCGTTTTGCGTTGCGTTGTAATGAGAGAGAATGCAGCAAACGTATATTTGCGTCTTTTTCTCTCCCATTACGACGCAACGCAAAACGCTGTCATGGGACTCCACCCTTAGAGTGCGCAGTTGATCCAAATTTGAATTGCGATACACAACCTCCAAATGAACAGCAGTGTACCTTCTTTTCTCGTGTAATTACTTATTTAAATGTTAAAAGCCCTTTAAAAAGAATTTCGGAAGGATCATAGTCGGGAAAAGCAGTGATATAGATTTTTTTGTAATGGATACTCCAAAATTCCCTGAAATTCAACTAAATTATTGTTTCCTCTCCTCGGAAGCAGTTTTTTTCACTTGGTAAATATTTATTTTAATAACAGAAGCCATTAAAAATATTACAAAAGGATCCAAGGCAGGGAAAGCAGTAATTTTGATTTTTTCGCGGATTTTCTAAAAATCCCGGTATTTAAACTAAATTATAATTTCCACGCCTCGGAAGCAATTTTTGATTTTTTTCAATAATGATTTATTTTATATTCTAGGATTTCTGAAAAATCCGTGACAAAAAATCAAAACCACTGCTTTCCACGCCTTGGATCTTCTTGCAATTTTTTTAAATGGCTTCTATCATTAAAATAAACAATTAGCAAAAGAAAAAATTGCTTCTGAGGCGTGGAAATGATAATTTAGTTGAAATACCGAGATTTTTTATAAAATCATAACTATTATAAACATGGAACAATATAAATTAAATTTATTAAACTTTTTCTGTGGAGGCTGCGTCTAAAACAGAAAAAATAATATGTAAAAAATTGTGTAATGTAGTTTAATTAATTGCTCTTGACAGTTGGCAATGCCAAAAACAATACACATTACAATACAAATTACACATTTTTCTACATATTATTTTTTTTATTGTAGACGCAGCCTTAAATCATTCACGCGCGCAATAATAATTAATTTTTTAAAATTTTTAATCTGAAATCATTAAAAAATTGAAGTTGATTTTTGAAATTAAAAAAGAATAAAAAATGAAATACCGAGTTTCGCGCGCGTGACATTTGCCAGTTAATAATTAAAGAATGAAAATTTAATGAGCATTTATATTATTTACCTCTTCGCCAACGCTTGCATTTGGAAGAGGAAACCTATTCTTCTCAAGACTGAATTGATCTTCTGTTGTTTTTCTATAAACTGGATTATCGAAATTCATACTGGTGACATTACGATGTAAGTAATGCCTGTAGCATAAAACTGCAACGAGTGCAAGTAACAAAAGTCCCAGGGAAACAATTCCAATCACAATTCCAGCGACTAAACCACGATCTGATGGTTCACTTGTTGAATTGTTACTTTCGTCTGGATCGGAATTAACTGGACCTAAAAAATTTATAATTCGGTTAATTTATTTCCTCAAAAAGTTGAATCAACTTTTCTCTCAATAAATTATTTTGATGAAAATTATCTTCCTTTTTTTAATTGTAAATGAAATTAAAATGTAAACCCATTTTTAAAAAATGCATTATACATATTGAGAAAAATGCGTAAATATATTCAAATTTCATGCAAATACATATCATGAATATTTTTTCGCTCTTCATGCATCTTGTGTGTAATCATGGAAAAATTGAGAAGAATTTCCAATTCTTAAAAACCATATTAGGCCAAAATGAATTTTTATACATGTGAATTTGTATACATTATCAAAAGGAGACCGTGTAGGATTAAATTTTTTGCAATTAAAAAAAAATTAAGTGGATTAATGAATCCAATGATTACTTACTGGCACTTGTTGAAATGTTCAGAGGCACAAGCTTCTTGAATGGCTTGATCACCTCTTTTGTCGTAGGTGCAACTGTCGTTGTTACTGGAATATCCCATTTTTCATGCAACATCGATGCAAATAAAAATAATGAATATCAAAAAAATATCGATAAGCGCCTGATGCAAAAGTAACGAGAAAAAAAAGACAATAATATTTTTGTCCATCGACAGTTTTTGTGAAAATACAGTCTAAAAATGTAATTATTCCATGAATAAAAATTATATTCCCATCTGAATTATTGTAGTTAAAAAAAATTAAATTCGTTCCAAGAAAACAGGATTGCCACAAAAATTTCATTTTTTATTTCCCTCACTTTTTCCTGATTTTCAGGCAGAATATTCACTTTTTCCCTGAATCCTACCAAAAAAACAATTCAAAAGAAGATCAATTATAAAAAGAGACAATTTTTAGAATCAAAAATTTAAATTAAAACTTTTAGAGTGTCTGTCTATTTACGAAATAAAATTAATTATTGGGTCGAACTTCTCAAATTTTCAAAAATTTCAATAAAGTTTTTAACAAATTCAAATTTTAATAAAATTCTTAAAAAATTTAAATTTTAATAGAATTCTAGGAAAATTTAATTATATCAAAAAGTTCAAATTACTTGTTTATAAAAATTCGATTCTCTTTTTTGAAAATAGAATTGAAATATTTTAAAAACCTTAATTCGTTATGATTTTAAAAGATAAAGAAATATTAAATATTTTAAATATTTTCAAAGGTTACAAGACACCAAAAATGTATTATTTTCAAATCAATGTCATAAAATAACAAATATTCTTAAAATTATATTTAAAAATCTCTACCAATAAAATTTTTTTCAAATTTTTCTCTCAATAAATTATTTTTAATAATTTGTAGAAATTATTTTCGAGAATTCACTTATTTAAAATAAAAGTTCACTTAAGAATGGTCTAAAAATCAATTACTATTAATAATTTTTAGAAATTATTTTCCAGAATTCAATTATTTAAAATTAAAAAGTTTATTTAAAACTCGTCGAAAAATCAATTATTGATTTTTCGACGAGTTTTAAAGGACGAGGTTGTTTACAGGTATGCAGACCTTCAGAAAAAATATTGAATTGACATTAAAGAATTTTTTAATATTATTGTTAATCGTATCTTCTGGAAGAACAAATATCAATTTTCAAGAAAAAAATTTGAAACTTAAAAAAATTGTTTATTTATAGTCATTTTGCATATGATCAAAGTTTTCTTCATATTAAAAGGTTAAACTTTTTCAAAACTGATTCGATTTAAGTCAATGATGGCTTATTTTCTTCAGAAAATGATTCTCTATAATTTGACCGCTCATATTTATAAACAAATACACCGTTTTGAAAATATGCTTATTTGTTTAAAAAAAGTGATTTAATTTAAAAAATTTTTTTTAAACAAATAAGCATATTTTCAAAACAGTGTATTTGTTTATAAATCTGAGCGGTCAAGTTATAAAGAACCATTTTCTGAAGAAAATAAGCCATCATTGACTTAAATCGAATCAGTTTTGAAAAAGTTTAACCTTTTAATATGAAGAAAACTTTGATCATATGCAAAATGACTAAATAAACAATTTTTGTAAGTTTCAAATTTTCTTCTTGAAAATTGATATTTGTTATTCCAGAAGGTACGAATAACAATAATATTAAAAAATTCTTTAATGTCAATTCAATATTTTTTCTGAAGGTCTGCATACCTGTAAACAACCTCCATAATATTCCAAAATTACGATTATTTGATAATTTATTAATTAATGAATATATATAAAAAAGGTTAAATAGTTTTAAAAACATTGATAATAATTAAATTTTTTAAAAAACTAAGTTTTTCAGAATTTTTAATTAAAGTTACTCAAAATTTTTAAAAATTTTAATTTGAAATCTTTCGAAATTTAATTATTTCTAAAAATTTTTACTATAACTCTTCTAATATTCTAATTATTTTCTAGAATTTTCAACTGAAATTTTTCTCTAAATCAATTATTTAAATACAAAAGTTCAGGTGAAAGTGAAAATTTAAGGACAATAAGCTTTTTAAAATTATTAAGGGCCACCAAAAGCCAAAAATATATTTATATAATATATAAATCTAAAATTTTTAAATTTGTTTTAATGATTCCAGAAATTTTAATCAATTGAATTTTAAATTTCCCAGAAAACTGATTTTTTCAGAATTTTTAAATATAAATTGAGCCTCCGGAAAGTATAACCACACATAAAATTCTGACCGCCATGCTAATTCAATGGGCGTCAGAATTTTATGTGTGGTTATACTTTCCGGAGGCTCAATTTATAAATTTTAATGTTTTGATTATTTACAAATTTATCAAAAAGCTAAATGTTTTCAGAATTTTTAATTTTTATTAATTTTTCAAGAGCTATTGAAATTCTCAAAACTTTTAATTTAAAACCTTCTAAAATTCAATTATATCTAAAAATTTCAACTTTTTCCAACTGACATCTTTTCTCAGTTAGTTGTATGTAGTTAATAACATTAAGAAAGTTATTGTAGAATTTAATTATTTTACAAACAAAAAAACAGATGAAAAAAATTCAATGAGAATTCAAGGATTTTTTTCGAAAATACTTTTCGATCGTTGCAGGACAAGAAGTCCAAACCGAAAAGTCTAGAACCAAAAGTCCAAAGTTATTGAAATAAAAAGTAAAAAAAAATAAAATCCTTTATTTAGGACTAATTGGACTTTTTGTCCTGTAATCCTTTTCGATACCAAAAACTTGGATTTTTGTGTAATAATTCTAGAAATTTTTATTTTTCCAGGTGAAATTCCATGATATTGATTTCTCTAACCAATTTTATTTTTCCTAATTTCTCCAAACAGTGGCAACCCTGTAAAAGTATGAAGTTAAAAAATATAACTAGAAAATAAAAAAAGCAATTAGAGCACTTGCCAAAGGGAAATTTAAATAAAAATTCTCTAAAAATGAAAAGATGCTTCCCACTTTTAATAATACTGATAATTTGGAAAAAAAAACTGTTCATGCACAACCAGAGAGATTAATATTCCATTCGTTTTTTTGAATGCAATGTATCATCTACTGAGTGATATATATGAAAAACAATAAAAAAAAAGAATTTATGTAAACATCTCTTACCGTTCTCGACGCACATGAGTCCGTCAGGTAATAATCTAAGACCATCGGGACAAGCGCAACTGAGTAGAGGCGACCTCGTATTAATTTTTGGAGCAGGCAAGCACAAATGACTGCAGTGGCCATTGACGGCCTGGCACTGATTAATTCCGTCAGGCTGGCGATAGGGATGATAAACGTGAACCACCATCGGATGCTGCTGTGATCTTTGCGACGTTATTGCCTGAACGTCCTTCCCAGTGAATTTATTCGCCTTGAAAATTGTCTCCTTATCCCAATCAGTCCAATAAACGTAATCCTCGAAAGTCGTGATGCTGAACGGATGACGCAACGAATCTGGTGAATACAAAATAGTCCTTCGACCCGAACCATCGTAATTACATGACGCAATGATATTTAATTTCGCATCGACCCAGTAGACCTTCTTGCCAATCAAGTCTAATGTTAGGCCATTCGGCCACTTGATCTCGGTGCCAACGATCACCGATCTATGGGAACCGTCCATGCCGGCGCGCTCGATTCGCGCCTCGTCTCCCCAATCGGTCCAGAACATCCAGCCCTCCAAGGGATTTAAGGCGATTGCTCGAGGCTCTTGCACTTGATCCGTTATCAATGTTTTTCTCATATTTCCCTCGAAATTGGACAATTCTATTGTATTCTTCTCTGAGTCCGTCCAATACAAGTGATTATAAATCCAGTCCACAGCCAGGCCATCCGACGTTGTTGTGTCCTGATCAATCACTGCCGTTCTCTCATTGCCTTCGTCGATTGGTGCTCTGCAAAAAATTGTACTTCAAATAATTCAATTTTATTATTTATGAAAATAATTAAAATAGAAAAAATTTAATTTAGATTCTTTAGAAGAATTTTATTTTAACATTTTTGAAAATAATTCAATTCTTTTGAAGAATTTTATTATTTACAAAAAATAATTTTTCTATTGTAATTAAGATTTTCAAAACATTCAAATTCAAATCTTTTTGAAATTCAACAATTTATGAGAATATTATTATAAAACATGAACCGAGTGATAAGATCATTATTTTCTACTATCAAAAATATTTTTACTCTAACTTCTTCAAAATTATTTTCATCATTTCAATTCAATTATTATTTTCTAGAATTTTTAACTAAAATTTTTCTTTAAATCAATTATTTACAATAATTTTTTTTAAGAATTCTGAAAATTTTCAACTGTATTTTTTTACAATTGAGGCCTTGGATCCAATAACTCGCCCGACGCTCGGAGGAACGCGCAACTGCCAGTCAGTGAGCAGTGAGCGCCTCTGGGCCACTCACTGCTACCCGACTGGCATTAACGCGTGTCTCCGAGCGTCGGGCGAGTTATTGGATCCAAGGCCTCAATTCAATTTTACGAAATTTCATCGATTATTCGAAAATTCTTCAATTAAATATATATTTTAAAATAAAAAACTTGGAATAATTTCAATTAAACTTTTTGAAAAAAAATAATTCTACGGAATTGTTAGTTAAAAATATGAAAAATTCGGATTTTCAAAGATTTCAATTTGAAACTTTTTCAAAATTCAATTATTTCTAAAAATTCACGCTATGCTTTTAAATATTCAATTATTATCTAAAATTTTGACTAAAAAAATTCATATTTAAATCTATCAATTTCTATTAGAAAAATCTACTAGAATTCAATTATTTAAATAGAAAAATTGATACTTTATTGAATAATTAAATGTTTCTTAATATTGAATTCTCATAAAGAATTTCATCAACAAACTTTTAAATAATTACATTTTTTCGACGAATTTTAATAAATTTTTTTTAAATAATTACATTTTTCGAGGCATTTAAATAAAATTGTACTAAAAATAATTGAAATTCTGGGATGAGTTTTATTATTTATGAAAATAATGGAATTATTGCGAAAAAATTTATAAAAACTTTGTAAATAACAGAATTTTCTTATTAATGAAAATAATTAGACGTCTGCGTAGAATTAATTTAGGAAAATTTTTGAAAATAATTGAATTTTGAAGAAAAATTCAAAGTAATTTCAAAGTTTATGAGGTGAACAAAAAAAAATTGAAAAGTAATAATTTCAAAGGTTGCTGGAAACCAAAGACAAGAATTTTTTTTTACAAATTCTAGAAGTTTAATACTTTTGGTGAAATTCTCTGTTTTATTCCTGAATTGACTTTCCCCTGTAGAAATTCGATATTTTCTCAATACTTTTTGATAAAATTCCCTGACAAAACCTACTTGTATATTTTCTTCTCGCTCACGTCACTCCAGAAGATCATTCCCGTACGAAAGACAAAATCAAGAGCCGTTGCCATTTTTGTATCGTTGACAATCGACGTCATTTCTTGACGATCGAGAGCCACTTTTCTTATGTCGTGCCGTCTGGCAAAAAGTAAACTCGCATGACCCTCGGCTGCTTTGCAACGGGTCAGATTTCTCGGGTCACGTAAATAACCAGCGGCACAACTGCATTTGTAAGTACCCTTTTCGTTGAAGCAATATTGAGAACAAGTTCCTGGCTCTTGACACTCATCGATATCTGTTTTTAACAAATTCTTCAATATTAAAAAAAAATCTGCATTTTATTTCAATCATTATAATTTTTAATTATTATTTCAATTTGCTCAACTCAAAATGTTGTTAAATTAAAAAAAGTTGATCAAATATTCGCTAAAATAGCTTCTAAATTTTAAAAAAATTCTATTTTTAGAAAATCAAAAATTTCTTTTAAACGTAAATCAAAATATTGGAAATAAAATATGAGTTTTGTATAATTATAAATTATATTCTCTCAAATAGTAAAAAAGGGTAAAAAATCATAATTACCATCGCAAGTTCGATTGTCAACGAGCTTATATCCTGGATTACAATCACATCTATAACCAATGGGAAGATCAATACAGACTTGAGAACATCCGCCGTTATTTGTTAAGCATTCATTGATTCCACAAAGTTCGTTACTTTCGTCCTCCCAACCAATGCAATCAGGCTTTTTGTCGCAAACATTTTTCAATGGAATACAAGAGCCCTGACTGCATTCAAACTCAGTCGTAGGATCACATGCTTTTATATTTGATGTACAATTTTTTTCGTCATTCCCATCAGCGCAATCTGCTTTTCCGTCACAATAAAGATGGCCTGAAATAATAATGAAAAAGAGATGATGATAGTAATAATAAAAATATTAATAATTATTATTATAATAATCGACATAATTTGTCCTCACGTCAAGTTAGTGTTGTTTTAAGGTCATGTTATTCAGTGGTCACGTGCTCCATATATACTTTACTATGAGAACACGTGACCACTGAATAACATGACCTTAATCCAATTTTTTGTTTTATAGTTCGAATTGTTATGTCAAAATTTGACAGTTAATTTGCAAATAATAAAATAAGTGGAGTAAGAAAATTTAACCAAAAATTTCAAAAACTCAATAAAGAGGTACAGTTGCAATTTTTAAAAATAATTAATTATTCTATACATTATTTATTTTTGTATTTAAATAATTTAATTCTGATAAGAATTGATTTAAAAAAGAATTTTGGTTAAAACTTTAGAAAATAATTAAAAATGTTAAAGTAGGATTCTTTAGAAATAATTATGTAAATTTCAAAAAGTTTAAAGTTTTTAAATTTCAATCTTTATGAAATTATAATTGCTGTAAAAGTATCATAATATTTAAATATAAAAAATTATTAATTTGTTAACTTCCTTAAAAATTAAAAGTTTTGAATTATTCAAAAATTTAAAAAAAATAATTGAATTTTGGAAGATTTGCGGTTTAAATTTTCATAAAAAATTTTTCCAATGGTTTTACATTGAAAGTATTTTGAAATTTTAAACAAGTAAAGAACAATAAGTATTTAGATATTTACTTTACAAAAATGATTTAAATTTGAAAAATTTAATTTGAAAATTCTGAAAAAAATTAAGTTTTTGAAAAATAGTAATTAAAATTTTTTGAAGATATACTTGAATTCCCGAAAATAATTTTAAAAAATTGAAACAATTGGAAGTTTTGTGAAATTTTATATTTTAAAGAATTTTATTTTTTCATCTTTAAAAATTATCTATAAATATAATTGTATTTTTTAAAATACATCATTTTATGAATTCACAAAAATTATTTTATTTAAATAATTCAATTTGAACCTTGTAACAATGGCAATGGTAATAATAATAATAGAAATAATCATAATAATAATTATTATAATTATAACAGAAATAATCATAATAATAATTATTATAATTATAACAGAAATAATCATAATAATATTATTAGAATAATAATAATAATAATAATAATAATAATGAGGGTAAACTCTGTGAAGAGATACCAGGATGCACTCCCTCTGCGGAAACTTCCTGCTATCTTGGAGAGACACATCGACCTCCACGTCCGAACATTCATGTTCACATGCTCTTGGATATCATAGACGTCGCATCAATGCTCCGGCAATGCTATAACGTCTATGTAACTAACGGAGGCGGTTCAGGGTCCATCTTGGCCAGATGGTAGTACCCTGTTTAGGCTCGATCGTTCCCTCGATACGGGGCAAAGAATTAAAAAAAATGATGAAATGGATAAAGAATCAATTAAATTACTCCAAGTGGGTACCTCTGTAGAGGGTAATCCCACCACCGATTCTGATCGGGTTGAAGCCCCGGTAGTCGGTGCAGACGGCTCCAAGGATTTTGGAGGGAGCCAAAGCAAAAATTCTGAGGATGTGGGACTTAGCAGATTCGAAGAAAATGTTTTAGAACAGGTCGATCTGATCCCAAAAATACTTGACAGCATGTGGCGTGCTTGCAGGAAACAAAGAAACATTAGCAAGGATGTTCAGGATGGAATGGTGGAATTGGGGAAGGTGCACGAGGTGCTTCGCAGTAACCTGCGTTTTATACCTAGGCCCTTCATTAGCCCAAGCAAACAAGAGTCGAATCCTGAAATTCCTAGATCGATGTCTCACGCCACATCTGGCGAGAGCAAGCCCATCGACCCAAAGAAGCGCCCTAGAGAGTATGAAGGTCCGGAGACTGATTCTACTGTGACCACTCCCAAGGGTAAGAGGGTTAAGAGCAAGGAGACCAAGCCAAACCCTACTGTTATGGAGACGGAGGTGAGTAAGGCTGCTTCGGCCAAGGTTGCTTCTTGTTCGGAGGCAACTGTGGAAAATAAGCCTGAAAACGAAAAGGACTTTGAAACCGTCTCCAATAGGAAACGGGCGGCCCGTAAGAGAAAGGCCTTGAAGAAAGCGGAGGAGAGGGAGCGACTTCAGAAGCGCCCCCCCAAAATTAGAACAACGGAGGCAATAAAAATTTCGGCCCGGAATCCAGAGACCTACTATGATCTTATAAGGCTGGCAACAACTTCGGTAAATCCAGAGGAAACTGGCACAGAGATTGTGAAAATTAGGAGAACTCTTAAAAAGGAGGTTCTCGTTGTGGTAAAAAAGGGGGGTGAAACTTCAAAGTTCGCTCAGAATCTTACCTCCGTTCTTCAGGACAAGGCCGAGGTTACGGCTCTTGTCAGTAAAAAGACCCTCGAAATTCGGGAACTTGACGAAACAACTTCAGAAGAGGACGTTTTAACCGTCTTAAAGCAGAAGTTGCAAAAGCCCGAGTTAGATGTGACTTGCCGACTTCTGACACGTTTTGGTGGTACGAAAGTGGCACTAGTACGCTTGAGTGAAACGGACAGCGAGAGTCTGCTTAAGCTAGGCAAAGTGCGTATTGGTTGGATAAACGCATCCATCCGAACGCACTTAGAAGTGACAAGATGTCAAAAGTGCCTAGCCTATGGACACGTGACCCGAATTTGCAAGGGCCCCGACAGAACAAAAAACTGTCGGAGATGCGGCGAAGCGGGACATTTCGCCAAGAGTTGTACTGGCGACAAGCCAAAGTGCATTACGTGTACAGATTTGGGAAAAACGGAAGTCAACCATATCCCTGGAAGAATTTCCTGCCCGGTTTACAAGGAGGAACTGGAGAAACTTAAAAGGGCAAATCCCTAAAGCTCCTTCAAGTCAACCTGCATACAAGTAAGGATGCACAGGTGCTCCTGATGCAAACAGCTAGGGAAAATGAGGTCGATATCCTGTTCTGCAGTGAGCAGCATCAAGGAAGCGACCTTGCACCTTGGTATCAGGATAAGGCGAAGAGAGCCGCCATCAAGCTGTGCAACCCAGAATTGCGGGTTGACAAGTTCTTGGAGACAAGCAGCGGGTTTGTGTGGATAGAGGTGGCTAATATACGTATGTATAGCTGCTACTTCTCACCCAACGACCCGCTGACCACCTTTGAAGCCAATATAGAAGACCTAGAATCGAGCCTCATAGAATCCAAGCTGGAGGTCATCATCACTGGCGATTTTAATGCAAAGTCGCCAGAGTGGGGTGAGACGAGGCTCGACAAGAGAGGAATTCTGATTGGAGAAATGATCTCCAAGAACGATTTATTAGTTGTAAACCGGGGAAAAACATGGACGTTTAGACGAGGTGCGATCGGATCGATTATAGATCTAACGATCGCATCGTCTAATATATTTAGCCGCATAAGCGACTGGCGGGTCTCTGAGGAATATACCGCAAGTGACCACCACTACATTGAGTTCTCAGTCTCAATGGGAGACACACGAGGAGGAAAAAGACAGGAAGCTCCTAGTCGCAAAACCTCCTCGTGGAACATTAAGAAACTCAACAAGGAGAAGTTCAGCCGGTCCCTAGAAGAATCTATCTTAATTGAGGATTCTGGTTGGGTGAGGAGGCCGAAAAGTCTAAATGGAGAGGTGCGAGCGGTGCGAAATATAATCTTCACCGCTTGCAATGCGTCGATGCCACGTCGCAAAGGAGCCTTTCCAAGGAAAAAATCCTTGCACTGGTGGTCAGAAAAGCTGGCCTCCTTGAGAAAGGAATGCCTCAAAGCAAGAAGGACATACACCCGATCCAAGGGAGATCCCTTGCTGAAAGAGGCTTTCAAGGAGGCGAAAAAGAACCTCAAGAAAGAGATCCGTAAGTCGCGACGCCGTAGCTGGAAGGACCTAATCGAGGAAGTCGATAAGGACCCATGGGGTCTGGCTTTTAAAATCGTGACTAAGAAATTAGTGACGAGGCAAAAGACCCCCGGCCTGGACAATCCCGATTGGGTCAGAAAGATAATAAGTTCTTTGTTTCCTCCTGCAGAACCATACCTTAGACGGGACTGGAGTTCTTGCAAAGTCGGAGAGGAAGAGCTCTTCACACTTAGCGAATTGCACAAAGCAGGCAAAAGATTGGAAACAGGCAAGGCGCCTGGAATCGATGGGATAAGTAACGAGATCCTAAAGTTGGTAATCGATACTTCACCCCAGATTCTGCTTCGATGCTTTAATCTTTGCCTTGAGAGAGGAGAGTTCTTCCGCGACTGGAAGCGACAGAGGTTAGTCCTCTTGAGGAAAGGCGAAAAACCTCTAGATAAAGTCTCATCATACAGGCCTATATGCCTGCTAGATACGATGGGTAAACTTCTAGAGGATATGGTTCTGCAGAGAATGCAAAGCCACTTGACCGAAGAGAATCGTTTATCAGATCACCAATTTGGTTTCCGTAAAGGCAAGTCCACAGTTGATGCCATCCAGGCAGTTGTGGACAAAGCCAAAGCAGGAAAAAACAAATTGGGACCTGGGAAAAAGAAGAGCTTCTGCGCGTTGGTAGCAATTGACATACGCAACGCGTTTAATTCCGCAAGATGGAAAGATCTCATCGAGTCGATGGAAAAGAAAAACATGCCGCCCTACTTGTTGCGGATAATGGATAATTATCTTAGCGACAGGTGGGTTATATATGAGGGAGACACCTGCACTCTCAGGGAAGAGATGCAGCGTGGGGCTCCTCAAGGCTCGAGGGTGGGTCCATTTGTATGGAATGTATCTTACGATGATTTTCTGCGAATGGATCTGCCCGAAGGTGCGATGATCATCGGCTTTGCGGACGACGCGTTGTTCGTGTGCACTGCCGAAAGTGAGGAGACTCTTGAGAAATTGGTGAACGAATGTCTGCGACTAGCAAAAAGCTGGCTGGATACCAGAGGTCTTGAAATGCTTGGAGAGGCAGGCCATGTTCGAAGGTGTAAACAGTCAAGTTACACCGGAGAAC